TTTGTACCATAAAATATGGAAACAGTTGTATTTTCCGTACAGGTCACGTATAAAGCATTAATAAGCTAAAGTACACAAAGCTAAATGACAAATCTTGATTAACAAACTGCTCCATGAAACTCATATTTGTCTCGGCGTGTTTAAAGATGCTTGAGGGCTGTAAATCTCTGACCCTCATTCTATTGATCGGTAAGAACACCACCCTTGTTTTTAACTAATAAAAACAATGGTTTATCTTTACTTTAGAGCAGGTATCATATAGAGTAGTTAATTTTTCACTTTTGTAATGTGTTCGTCACTCAATTCTTACTCGGAGACTCTACAACATCTGTTTTTAAGAAAAGAGGTAAAGATACCACATCACACCGAGAAATCTTGGTTTTGACCTTCTCTTCACCTTTAGTTCCCTTCAGCTTTAGTGTTAAAATGAATCGCATCAGCAATACAGAAAAATGCCACTTAAAAGCATTAACCTAGTTTTCTTTTCCCTGATATTTAAGTATGTCTCTGATATTTCAAGGGAGGCAGTCTGGGATTGAATTTGTGAGAAAAGAATAGTGAATTCTATTAAAAATTTTTTATCGGATGAAATTATTTCTAAAAAGAGACCCTAATTAAGACCCTCAGGAAGAAAACCAATGCCTAAAATGAATACAATGTTATATGTCAATTATAGCCCCATAACCAAAAACAAAACCATGGGATTACTTAATTGTGTGTTGTCATGGAACACATAAAAGGGGCTTAAAGGCTACTTTCAATAGTGGATTCTAGGAAAGCAATGCTGTTTTCCTCATGAAAATATTTTAGCATTTCAGAGTTTATAAACATCTCAGCTTGACATCATTACCAGCCTCTCTTCGTACTTTATAGATCTTTACAATTACAGAAGTTTCTCATGTTTCATGGATATATTACCACAATCGTCATTAACGTTTGAAAGCCTTGGGATGTCTCTCTAGATTCATTCTGGTTGCTCTCCGTGCTCCACCACACGTTTCATCTTTGGCTTCCAGTCATAGGTTCTTTACTGGCTCAATTCCTCCTCCCTCCCCCGCCACAACGTCCTTCCCCAACATCACCTACTTCCCACTTTTTCTTCAGTCTCTTTCAAGAAGTTTCTCTGACCAGGTGTCCCCACCTTATCCCTGCCCTGTATGCATGTCCCTAAGCTCAATTCTTGTTTCAATTTCTCTGAGCATCCTTCACTCCTTTTCACACTTCCAACTAATTTCTTCTTAGTTGGAATCAATCGTGTAAGTTCCATGAAGGAGGGACCTTGTCTGTTCTTGTTGTCACCAGTGTGAGCAGACATATTTGTGCAAGTGTGGGATAAAATGGAGTCTCTCTCAGAACCTGCAACCCACTAAGTCCTTAACAAAATCTAACCGAGCCTAAGAACACCACCAAGACGTCTCACTAAGAATACTCAAGCAGTGAGTAAAGTTTAAGTCTTGAAGTTAAGTGGAATATTTGTAAATAATGAGATTAAGTTTTTAATAGGAACAGAAATCTGTAAGTATTTTTTATATATTTTTTATTCACAAACACACACACCACACACACACACCAAGCTTCTTATGCTATTGAACGGATAGAGAGGCTTTTACTAGAACCCTTGATAGATAAGCAAAAGGGTCAAACTAGTAAGTGGTCAGTTTTATCTTCATAAACATGTGCCTAAATATGATTGAAATTATAGACATTAGAAGAGAAATCTAGGGAAAAATCAGAACCATCTCCAATTGGATTAGATGCTACCAAAAAACAAACTAAATATTATTTTGATCATTCTGGAAATATATTTTTAAAGTGGGAAATGTTTCTACCATAGTATTACGTAGCCAAAAATCAACAAAAATTAGACGCTATTTATACGATTTTAATATTAGAAAACCAATCAAAGACCATTTTACCAATCAGAATAGAGATAAGAACTTATTTTATAATCAAATATCTCAAAATTAGCAAATAGATTGTTTATTGGAGTCCACTTAAAACTACCAATCTTTCTCAGCCATTGCTAATGCTTGTAATAAAGGACTAACTGAAATTTATTTTCTTTTCATTTAATCAGTGTGCTTTTGGAACAGACAGGTTGTGTTCCCTGCCATTTACAAACTCAAGGATTTAATTTAGAATTCAATAATTGAATGAGATAGTATAATGACCTTTTATATAAATTCATCATTTCTTATCTTTCCCAAAGCACAAAATGTCCTGTATGCCATAATCATTATTGTTTACTTTTCTGGAAGGTTTTTGTTTAAATTTCTATAACTCACCCAGGATTGTAAATCTGCCTTCAAAATACAGTGTGAACAGCTTACCACTCCAGTTTTATAAAAGCTCATAGCTGATACTGTGAGACTTGTATGACCATTAATTTCACTCCCTTTATATTCGGGTTTATAAAGAAATCTGAGTACCTATAATATCTCTTTCCAGGAAGTTTGAACACAGTCTCATTTGCCTCCTGCTTTTCTGAAAAGTTGGAACTTTGAGTCTGTGTTTCAGAATTCATTTATCTCGGTTTAAACACACTGAGGCAAATATGAGCTTCGTGGAGCAGTGTGTTAATCAAGATTTGTCATTTAGTTTCAGAATTCAATTTATCTCTCATTTATCTTTCTTTCTTTCTTTCCTCTCTATTTTCTTGGGGATCAGGGGAGGGGAGGGAGAATGCACTACCTGGGCTGACTTTCAAGAACTGGCAGTACGCTTTGTCCTATGTTTGTGGACTGCCTTTGTATGAGCATAAATCAGTGGTTCAAAAACATAATTTGTGAGCCTCTAATTCATTGCTTATCAGGTTTTCCTGAAGAGGAAACACATGCTGCTGTGGACGTGGTGGTGCAAAGTCAGAGGAGTTATCCTCTGAATGGCTAAACAGAGACCATGTCCGTTAAGGGCTTCAAGGGCAATTTGAGTGGGAGGAGGAGCATTGGGCATTGTTCTTCACTGGGCAGGATGGCACAGCCACAGCTCTGAGGTTCTTCAGCAGGTCTGAGGAGCAGTTAAATGTAGACCACCGTTATTGGGCAAAGTTTCGGGGCAATCCCCTCATAGCCTACTGGTTTACCTCTGTTTCTCCATAGAGTATTATTGGCTTTTGAAGTGGGACAGTTCTTCAAATCTGTCCCACACATTGCAGTATATTACTACCTCTCGTCCTGATACTAAATACCAGTGCGCCTGCCCTCTTTAGGCACCACGGCCATGAAAAATAATCCCCTTCCCATTTCCAAAATCAACTCTTGCCTGGGTGACCTTGAGAGTCTCATGAACTCTTCTCTATCAAAGAAGTAACAAAGAAAAAGACTTTACATCACAACTGAAATTGGAATTTAGCTTAAATTATTTTTAAAAAGATCCTTTTTGACCTGAAAGTGTACTTGGGAACATGTAACTGAGGATAGTTCTAATGTTTCTTAGTGTGATGCTACTGGAGAGAGGAAAATAGACCAGACCCCTTCTGATCGGACTCTATGTTAATGACATAGTTAGGTCTTAATTTTTCTTCAAGTTGTTACAAAACAAGTTCTTGTCTTCTGAATTGTATTAAGAATCCACTGAATTTATTGGAACATTCATTTTTCATTGCCTTTTATCTTCGGTAACCACCATAAGATTTGAAAGATAGTATCCCAAGAATTGAGTTATAAATCTAGCATTTAAAAATTTTAACTTTAATTTTGCAATTCACATAAGCATTAGCTTGAACAGGTCACTTCTTTGATACTTCACAACTTCTAAAAGTTACTTGAAATATAATTTATTTACTCTTAAAAACATATGAAAGCTAGGCAAGAGCCTCTTAACTGTGTTAAGATTAACCTAAACAATAATAGAAAATGCCTCAAGTAGCTAAGCTTTAGATCCATGAAGGAAACAATTCTTAAACGATGAGTGTAGGTGAAGGGTAGAAAGATATTACGTATCTCAAGCTCCTATTGGTAAAATTAAGATGCTGTGACCTTTAATTCATGCTGGAATGGCACTGCCTCTCCAGTGGCATTTGGAAATATGGGAGACGTTCTGGTTGCCACAAGGCTGTGTCAGGGGAGTGCAATGGTATCTAGGGTTTGAGGCCAAGAATACTAAATCTTGTGCAATAAGTAGAATATTCCTTTAAAACAAAGAACTGTCCTGCCTGAAAGCTAATGGTGACTTCATTGAGAAACGCTGTTATACCTCTAACAGAGATCACCTCAAGTCCCACCACCTGGACGAAAGAGCAAGTTAGTCTTCTTGATGTCAAAATGTAGCACCTTGTTATCAGCCAGATGTTCATGAGACCCAGGCACTCCTCACTTGTCTTCTGAGCTTTTCCCTGTCCCGATCATTTTCCCTCACCGCAAAAAGTCCAGGAGCGGGGTCGGGTGTAGTATCAATACAGGGTCAACTACTTACACTGAAATGCTTTGCAAATAGTGTTAAGGACAACGTTAGAGCCACTGTTGACATATTCCTGGTTTAATTCCTTCTATCTGGCCAGCCACCAGTTCGTCAATGTAGTCTTTGAAATAATGCTCACGTTTCTTTGACATGATGCTTGTGCTTCTTTCTCTCTCCCCGTCCTCATTCACTCTTCCTCCCCATAGTCTCTGTACTTATCAGCTGAGCATCTGGAGAGAAGGCTCTGGATGAGAGCCCCACAAAAGGCCCAGTCGTAGGCTACCTGCTCCCCAAACAAGTTCACCTCCTCTCTCCAGCCTCTGCTAGATGTTCCCGACACATCATTTCCCCAAGGTGCTTTTTACTCAGAAATCTTCGGGTGACTGCTGCTTCCTACCACATCACAGGTCACATCCCATCGCGCCTTCATCATTACACGAAAATTTATCAAAGGTATTGGCAGTGCTTTTTTATCTTTGTATTTTTTCATCTTGGTATTTTCCATTACATCTGACATAAACCAGATGCTGAATATATATTTAATGACTACACAATGGAAATTTGGTTCTCAGTTTTTAAGACTTATGTCTGAACGCTTGTTAAAGCTGGTTTGTTTTCTCCTTCAATCCAAGCCCTTATTAATTTCACTTTCCTCTGTACTCTTACGATATTACCACAGTAAAGAATAGGACATTTAGGTTGCTGTTTATGATTTGTTATTGTTGCAAAATATTTCTGCTAATTAATTAGCTCACAAACTAATACTATTGAGCACACCACTGAGCAAATGGTAGCAACACTCCAACAAGTCCACAGATGATTGTTTATTGCTTGCTGGGAACAGTTCCACAGCTGGTCTTTACCAAATTACATCATGCTGTATCATGGGTGTTTGGGGCTTACAGATCCTTTTACAGTGTACCTGGGGCTTAGAGAACAGCCCAATCCTTAATACAAATGATACAAGGCCTGTCATTAGACTTTAGGAGAAGCCTGTAAAGTTAATGGAAGTTTCCCGTTATAGGCTATGAGTCTTAAAACAGACTTTTCAGTTTAGATATACAAAAAAGAAAAAGAAACAGAGCTAGATATTAATTTATATGAAATGAATCCTTCACATCAGGTGATTTTTGAACATTCATTCACTTCAGTTTCTAAGCAGAGCACTTTATTAAAGACTGCTTCCACATCTGTAGAGGTTCAGTCTGCAAATCACAATTTTTTTATATTTATATGCATGGATCTGATATGCAAATGTTCTGGAATTATGGTATTTTAACCAACCAACTTTACTCTTTAACTTGATATCTAAATTAGCTTTGCCTGCAAATCCCCAGCATTTTTCAGAAACAGTACCAGCCCTGAAAGCAGCCAAGCCATTAAAAATATTTCCATACTTTACTTCTTCTTATCTTTTTTAAATAAAGAAGAATAATCTCCATTCAGTTACATAGAATTGGAATACTGCTATGTAACAGAAATCATCATACTAATGCACAGAAATTGAAAGTCAAGCAACTTTGGTCTAGGCTGAATTGAATTAAGTCTTGACCTTGTAAACATTTCCATAGGAGGTAGACCATACACATTTGACTTTTTGTCAAATAAGGGATAGTAAACGATGATTCTGAGATCCTAATAAATTAAAGGCGTTTTAAAGGCATTAAATAAACATTTCTTTTTTAGAAACCAAAAATGAAACAGATTTTCAATAAATTAAGAAGTGAAATATTAAATCCTTAGAGTTGAAATGTCTGCATCTTCAAAGCTCCACTGGTCCCATTTGGTAATGCATGAATCTGTGACTAATAATGAGACCACATTCTAAATAATTTGTGTGCAAGGCAAACTCTGCAAGTACTTCCATTCACTAGGGAGTTGTCCTTAGTTTTGTACCAGTGACCTGAAAAACAATGTCCTGCCACTGAATATTCCATTTTCTTTCTCTGATGGGAGTCTCAGTGGATAGGATTTGAGCAGTAGAGATTTTTAAAGTTTCAACCCCAACCCGACATTGTTGGTTTAAGTGCCTCCAGCTGCTGTTCCCATGAACACAGTGTTGATGGGCGGTAGAGAGGACACCATTTCTCTACCATTTGCTCCGTGGGAGTCCAGAGTTTCTTGAGTTGGATACTGATTGGAAGTTCCATACATACACTGGGATGAGGAGGAAGGAACTGGGGCTTGCAAGCTGGATGCTGTAAGGGAAAATATAATCAGCAATTGAAAATTGACTACATTTTCTTTTCTCTGTAAGTGCCTCTCGACGTTAAGCCTTCCTATCTACCATTGCTCCCATATCTGTACTAAATCTGAGTGTGTATGGTTTCTCAGAGCAATCCTCATCTTTTCTTCCATTTCCCTCCTTGCTATTCTCCAAGAAATTGTTTCCTTCTTCTCATTTCACAAAGGAAACTCAATTTCAAACATAAATTCAGACAACTTTATCACCAAAATACATCCCCAGTCTACCTCCTCTTTCCATCTGTGCCTCCACAACTGTATTTCAAACCACCGTCTTCTCTTACCTGGATCAACAGCCTCCGAACTAGTCTCTTGACCCTCACCTTTGTTTGCCCCACCTCTCACCCTGGAGAAAGCAGCCAGGATAATCTTGCAGAAATGTATATCAAATTGTCATTCTTCTCAAATGCTACAGTGGCTCCTCATTACTCTTAGAACAAAATCCAAGCTCCCTGCCCTGGTTCATAACACCCCATATGAACTGGTCTCTGCCTTCTGATTTATTTTACTCCCCTCTCTTCATTTACCATGCTCAAAACACACTGGCCTTTCTGCCCTTTAAATTTTCCGAAAGCGCTCCCATTTCAGAGACTATACAACTTGCCCTTTCTTCTGCCTAGAGTTCTCCCATTAGATCTTCACATCATTGCCTCCTTCTTCTCATTCAGCTTTCGACTCCAGATTCCTTTCCCAACAACACCACCTAACGCAGCTCCTCCATGACTATCTGTCATTTCATCCTCTTTAATCTACTTCAGAGTACCTGAAATTATCTTTTTAATGCACTGGTTTATATACTCACTGCCTTCTCTCTCCCTACCGGAATGTAAACTTCTTGTAGGCAGGAACTCTGTCCCGGTCACCACCATCACCTCACACCTAACATGAGGTTTGGCACCTAGTAGTAGGTTCTCAAAAGTTTTGACTAACTGGCTTACTAACACTACATTTCCTGCATTTTGGTTGCTGCCCTCTAAGTGCTGTTTTTCTTATTGTCCTAACAACCATCTTCTCTGTCACTAAAAATCAGGCTTTATAACTAAGGAAATAGTTATTGGTCCTAACTCCCCTTGTGCAACTTACCCACTTACTCTAGTCACTCTTTTCACCTTGAAGCCCTTTTTGTAGTTTACGTGTAAGCCAGCTCTGACAACTAAAGCTTAGAATCCATCCTGCACCCAAGCTATGTTCCATCAAAGCTTCCACTATCTCTCCGAGTAAACAGAACTAATAGTAACAACAGCAACGCGGTACATTTTATTCTCACAGTGAGGACACTTCCTAAAGTGGAATTTTCTGCTTCATTAGTGTAACCTAGAAGCAATGACCCTCTGCAGACAGCATGAGACGAGTGCTCAGGGAGCATCCGTGGTGGTCATAGGAAGGGAAGAAGTGCTTCCTATTGAATTATTCGAAAAGCACACTGAGTGAGGAGAGATGGAAATTATCTCATTTCCCTTATGCTGTTTGGGTGTCAATGCCCTCTACTTTCACTAATCTGGAATCAATTCCATTGGAAGATTTCAATCATCTCACATAAACATTAAAACTCTGCCTCGATACTTACATGGATATAGACTTGCCCTGAGATACCTTATTAGCAATTTCAGAAACTAAACATATGAATTAAGTTTTTGCCCTTTTTTTTCAACTCACTGATTTATTGAGTCCCTACTATGAGGCAGACACTCTACTGGGTGCTGGTGATGCATCTGTTACAAGTTGCAGTATTTTCTTAAGGACAACTAGCTGGTTGGAATAAGATGCTAGGGGACTTCATAGCAAACATTGTCTTGCTCATTTTTACTTAAAATGTATGTTATAGAACAATAAAAAAGCAACATTTTCTACAGGGGTGTCTAATTACATTTTACATGTATTTGAGAAAATGACAGTAACCTTCATCACAATTCACCATCTTTTAAAACTTGGAGTGGTTTGAGGGTACTGGTGGAGATTATGGGGTCCAAAGAAAACTCTCAGCACTGCCCTGCTTCTAACAGTGAAGAAGGCAGAGTGAGAGACATCATTCTTGCCCTCATAAGACTTACAGTTTTTTAAATTGCATTTGACAGGGTATATTCATTTTTGCACACATAATAGATGCCAGCTATTCTTTTCGGAAAGAGTAACAGATCTAACAGTAGATTGCATGGTGACATGTCTACTGAGAAATGGTAAGATTCACAAACGTAACTTCACATCCAAGGTGATAAACCAATGGTGGGAACATAAATGCCCAGTTAATACTGCAAACCTGAGGTTTAACAACTGTTTAAAAAATTTAGTTTAATTTACTTTACTTTTTTTAGGGGGAGGTAATTAGATTTATTATTTATTTATTTTATTTTATTTTATTTATTTATTTATTTATTTATTTATTTATTTATTTATTTATTTTTAGAGGAGGCACTAGGGTGAACCCAGGACCTCATACACGCTAAGCATGCACTCTATCATTTGAACTATGCCCTCTCCCCTGGTTAACAGCATTTTAAAACATTTTCAAGAGCTACTAATATAATTTACCTACTACAGGAGTTCGACAGGCAGCTGAAGGTGATGTGTCTGCAAAAAAAGAGCTGGTCTGCTTCCTACCACTGTCATCTAAAATGTTAAGGGGATCATGGATGTCACTGTATGGAGGCAGTGAGCGGACACTGCTGATGACAGAGACGTGCTGATTCACCATTGATCCAAGTCTATGAGACTCTGGGTAGTTTATATTGCTTCCGTAGTACCCTATAACAGAAAATGTTGAGAGTGTAGAGTTAACTTACAAATAATACTCCAGGAAGAAGAAAAAAGGACGCAGTAATAGGATAGAGCCCTAAAGATATCATGCTGTAAACATTACATCTCCATCTACATTTACTCTACAGTTGGCTTTGGGCTTATGGTTCACTATGTTGTTTTTGTTTTAAAAATACACAGGAGTCATCATATTATTAATTTTGAGATAATGACTAAACTTCTCTAAACTTCTCTCGTAATTCCCTTATTTAAATTAACAAGTTCTACTTACAAAGAAAAAAGCACTATTCGCCTCTATCTAGCAAAAAGGTAACACTGCTTGTGAAATACTAGTTTTATTTACAGACTCATGTTTCTGGTCTACATGAGGAGAGGGGCATCATGCCTACTTTGGTGGATGGATTAGTCCTCTGAAATTTCTAGCTCAGTAACTTCAAGTGTTTTATCAGCCTAATAGGAGGCATGGTTTGGGTCCTAATCTTTAAGATCTGCAGCTAGTCCTCCAGAAGAAACATTATTCACCAACAACCTTTTTAAAGAACAGAACATTCTTCTTTTAGGGTACCAAGGTTGGTTTCAAACATACGGTTTGACATAATATTTTTTCATCACATGTGGCATTTAGAAAGGCAACTTTAATAAAGCCACAAGAAGTAGGGATATGTTTGCATGTGGCAGAAATGAGCTCCAAATGTCTAAGATTCCACAGTCTTTAGAAAGCTCTACAGGGATGACACGCTTTTCAGCCGAAGTGGAGCTCAATGTCTGATTTGGCCTTCCTGCCATCTCAAAAGCCAGAACAAATTCTTTAAAAACATCAATACCATTAGGTGAATTAGGAGGCAATGTTGCTCCTTGGCAGGTGGCAGCTCCTGCATTGCTCAGGAAATTGAAGCTTCCGGTATTTAAAAACTGCATGCTGTGTGAATCTTGGCCATGTGGGGATGGTCCATAGCTGGAAGGTGGCCGAGAATTATATGGAGACACAGCACAGCTGCCACTGAAGAAGTCTCTAGGAAGCTGCTGTTCACTCCAAGCCATGCATCGACTGTGCTCAGGGCGATGAGGATAGAGTCCTGATGGGGGATGAGCCTGGGCCCTAAACACAGTCTGATAGTTGGAGTTGGTCCCATAAAAGTCATGGCTGGCCTGAGGGAGAGTCGGATAAATGGGCTCTGGGAATGCTGAGCAGTGTGACGGGGCTGACAGCACTGGACCCACACTTGGGGGTCTCCCTGCCATTGGCCCCTGGTTAATGACACTTCCTCGGCTGGCCATGGCTGGAGAAATGGGTGGTGTCATCAGATGACCAGAACTCTGCGAAAGCTCCATTTGACCTGGAAAAAAGTTACCAGAGTGTTCACAAGTGGCAAATTCAAACAGATGGGCTCACATATTTTAAAATTATTCAAAAGACTTGTTAATATATCTTTTTATATATTAGTTCATTTCTACTCTCCAAAAATAACAGGACTGGGGAACTTCAAAATCCTAGATTTAAAAACACAACATGTGTGCATTTCACAACTGTGGCAGCTTTTGGAGTTAGTGACTGTGGAGGAAAGTCTGGGCTGGCTTCATCCTTCCGTGGGTATGAAGATCATTAGAGCCCAGCTTGGGAAGGGCAAGGGGGCAGGAGGTGTGCCGTTCACATTTCTCCATAATTACAAAGCAAGCTGAATGTTAAATGGTTTGAATTTTGGGGTGAAAGAAGAAGGCAGTCATATCAAAATAACAATGGCTTCAGAGCAGCCAATTCAAAACTTCCTGCAAACCCCGTTGTTGGGCAATGAGTTATGGATGCCACCAGTTCCCTGGACCGCCAATTTCCCATTGGTGGAACTAGGCCCCTGAACTAAAAGGCCCTTTCAGGTTTAAAATTCTGTGTGTCCCATGAAGTAAGGTATGTAGAAGGATTTCAAAAAAGATATAAGGCAACAAGCAGACTTAAAGTATAATCTAGTAGCTAGCTTAAGCCATAAACATTCAGATTGACAGAGGACCCCAGACCAAAGAGAAAATTATTGTAATGGTTAAAAACAGCTGAATTCACTTTTAAAAAAATATATATTCTTTTTTATGAGGGGTAGGTAATTAAGTTTATTTACTTATCAATTTTTTAATGGAAGTACTGGGGATTGAACCTAGGACCTTGTGCATGCTAAGACTGCACTCCACCACTGAGCTATACACCTTCCCTGCTTGAATCTATTTTTTATGGAGGAGAAATAAAGTCTCCTCAAAATCCAAAAATAAATAAGCAGCTTATATTTTTCGACTTTCAAAGCATCTTAAGGATTCTATGGGCACCTGATCTATTTTTTTCTTCCATGAAATCAAATAACCAATTATTTGTACTTCTGCTATAACTAAGAGAGTATGTCAATATGATACCTATCTTAAACATGGCATTGATGAATTGACAGCATTGACAAATGCTGAAAATCACAAAAAATATTATAAATCTTCATTATAAGTCAGTGACGAGCCTTTTTATTCTTGGAATACCTGGAGGGTACTAGTTTAAGAAAGCCAAGGTTCCTGTGAGACATCCTAAAGCCTAAGTGGGCTTCTTGGTTGCTTCCCAGCCTACCTGTGAGCGGCACGTTGTCTGTACTCCCAGCAGGGAATGGGTGCAGAGCAGAGGTTAAGCCTCCAGGTTGACTGGATGGCAGAGGGAGGTAGGTTGTTTCCACGTGGCTTTCATTCTTCACAGTGTCGCTGGGAACAGCGCTCCCTTTATTACGGTTGGCCAGAAAGCATGAACTCGGAGAGGCAGTGAAGGCAGCTTTACTTGCATCTGGGAAGATTTTTTTTTTTAATAGGAAAGCTAACATCATTCCCATAGTCCTAGTAGATAAGCCCAAGTTGAAAAAAATACATATTCTAGGTTTGGGTCATAAATCTGGAAACTCCTGAGAAGTGTTTTCCACGGGAAACAAGGCTGGCAGATCTTTGGTCTTGGCAGTGCTGCTGGTTTTTGTTAACTGAGTATTTGTGAGAGCAGGTGTGTTGTGGGGGGCACTAAATAATCCACTCTGGAGTGAATAGCCTTTAAAAAGCAAGTTATCACGTCCCATATACATGTGTTTCCTTCCCTCTCCAAATTCCTATAGAACTTATATCTACACCATTTATAAGGTGGTATATACCACATGTGTTGTCTTGAATTATAGTTATTTTTTGTACTATAGTCACTGTTTCAATTTCATCTAAGTTCTCGGAAGTTAAAAATATCGATTTTCAGAGTTTTCAGTAAAGTACTTTGACTGCTCTATGCATCAATGGATGAAATATAGGGCTCTGTTAGTGTTACTATCCTATGTTAGTAGTCACTACATTAGGGGAAAACTGAGATGGTTATAAATCCATTTAACCTGTGTGCTTACCAATTCTTGATCTTAAGTTTCAACAAAGAAATGTGCAAAACAAAATATACATTTTTAACTTACCTGAATTCTTCATATACTTGTCCAACAAGTTCTGTAACTCCTGTTCTTTGTCATTATTAAACTGGGTCTCCATGGCTAGCAGAATGTATTCATCAAGAAGCATTCGGATCAAATGGAAAGAACCTTGTTTATGGATGGGGAATCAGGAGAGGGTGTGGTGGAGATGAAATAAGGGAGAGAAAGAGAAGGAAAGAGAAAGAGAGAGAAGTCAAGTTATCTTTGTGACCATCTCGCAACACTTTACAAGGAGCAACTGAAATAAACAAACACTTGTTGGACTTTAAATGACCTGCTAAGACCAACATGCTTAACTTGGGTCTCTAATCTCTCTGTGTACCGCCTGCCCATTGCACCGTGTGTACTGTCCTGCCCACTCTTTGGCCACTAATTACATCAAAGGAAAATACGGATGAAAGTGAGACATGCTTTATGCTTTAAGAGGGCACACACTGGAGTGTGATAAGCTTTAACCTGAAGAGAATGAGCTCCACTCTGCTCTATTTCTGTTTACTTTGTACTGAATAATTAGACAATGGCCAACATGGTCTGGAAAAAGTATCGAGTAAGAAGATGTCTTTCTAACCTGAAATAAAATGCTCTTTCACTTAAAAAAAGGAAAGGAAAAGAATAATTTTCATGCAGGAGATGCCCTAGAAAACATCTTTTAACAATTCAACAGATTTCCCAACAAGTCTTTTTTCATAATAAAATCAGTTTTAAATGTTGTATATTTTAAGAAACTTTAAATATAAGCCAAGCCACATTTTAAATAATAACTCAATACATTTTGTTCATCCTCAATACAAGTTCATTGGTTATATCTAATTCTACTGAAAAGTAAATAAAAATAATTTAGTTAACTAATCTATTTTATAATGTGGAGATTTCTCCAAATGCAACTACTAAACATGGAAGTATTGTCCAGGAGCTAGAACTAAGTAAGAATCTCAAGAATTTTAGGAAAAAGAAGGCATTCCATTTTTGAAAAAGCTAACTTGATTCAATTTTTTCATAAGTCATATAGATCAGGAAAGATGGCTCAGAAAACACATATTACAGCGTGTCTTCTAAACTGCTCTTTGATTCCTGGAGTACAGCTATGCGGGTTCCTGGAAAAGATGCAAACATTTGCCTTACTGCAGTGACTAGTGTCTTTGGAAAATAATGTATTAAGTATTGTTTATTTGCTTGTTTAAGAAAGAAAATTTATTCAAGCGGTGATGGAATGAAATGGTTTTAGCTGCTATTTCTTACGTGTTCACCAGGTGCTAGGCAATATATTTTTATAGATATCACCTCACCCAGGTGCCTATATAACCGAATGAAAGAAATATTTTCCCTTTTCTACAATGAGCAGACTACTTTGGGTAAAACCCAAGCCAAAGAAAAGCAGTATTAGGACTGAACTCGCCATGTGGTCTGACTCTAAAATCCAGGCCAATAACTACCATTCTCTACTGGCTCAATGGTCAGATTTGAGAAGTGACAGTGCCACAATATTTAAAAACTGATAGAAAATGTGACTGGGGAATGAATGATGTAATTCACTTGAGAAGAATTTTATAAAGCATATAAGATACCAAAACTGGATGCGTTGTTTAGGGTGAGATTGTGCATTACTCGAGCACCAAAAAAGCTCCACTTCAGCAGAAAGTCTTGAGCCCTCTTCTTTAATGATCTTCCATTTTGTTTGCTGGTCTAAAAGTAAAGGAACAAAACGAAACTCTAAAATCTGTCATCTCATTATTTCATGGTTCCTACACAAGATCAAGAGGTAGATAAACTGACAAATGGACAGATGTCATGGCATGCCATTTATTTCATCAAATAAAATTATTTGTCCAGGGATTTTCATTTTAATCTGTATTTGCTGTCACCTTTAAGGTTAATAGTTCTTTATTCTGTATGGTTTTGTTACTCAATAGAATTGGAAAACAAAATGAAACAATTTACAAAATATTTTCTCTCTTAATTTTCCTTTGACAGAACTTTAAAAACAGCAGTAGGTGAAGTGTGGAGGAAAGGTTATATATTTCTGTGAATGATTAACTCTGACTTCTCTGGTCCTGAATGATAATCTGTTTTCCTTCCAGGAGGAAAAAAAAAGTCTCTACACTATAACTACTCTCCTTGATACAGAGTGGCTAACACCAACTGGTGATGGATATATTTGTTCTTATTGTCTTGTTTCATGATGGATGACTTGAAGGTTAACTGAAAGAGTTGAAGAAACCACATAGAAAACACAAAATCCTGAGCTCCTGGAATTTAAAAAAAGGCAAATACTTAAAATCATATTTTCTGTTAGCATTTATGAAAGCATGCTTTCTAAGAAAAGGACCAGATCCTTGCAGTTTCTAAGTTTATCTTCCAAAACTGATGTTACTCAGCTGTAACTTTATTGACTGATAGGGAAAGCATAGTGTCTTGTAGTCCATCAAAAACGATAAATAGAATTGAATTCATGCCCAATGCTCTCTAATCTGCCACACTTCTAAACTTGATATTTGGCTTGCCTTATTTGTAGGGTTTCAAAAGCTTTGCAAGGCACTTTACACATAGCATCTCATCACTACCCCACCATTCTAGAAATTACAACCACTTTAGTATTTAGCATTTACTATTAACAAAAAATTTTATTTTCTGAATATGTCATTGAAAAATACCTTAATAACTCTCTGCTCTACCACAGTATCCAGCCATTCAATAAAAGCCTCCACAGTGGCATTCTTCTTAAGGAGATCTTTCAGTTCTTGGAACACTGTGATAGAGTCATCTGCCGTGTAAAAAGAAAAAAGCGAAATCAGAATACTGCACTCTACTTTGAACCCAAGAGAAATCTAAAACTAGGAATCATTAATAATGTTATAGCATAGAAGGGAAAGACAGGTAGATTAAGTAAATGTGTTAAGGAAAGCAAATTCATAGCCTGAAAACAGTAGCAAAAAATCTTTAGTCCTTTACTCTTCAGAATTTCTATCATAAGTGTATACATCTTGGTATATACTGAAATACAGGTTTATGTATTACATACTAGGGAAGAATAAGTTGTCAGTATAGATGATTACAGATTTTGAATGCAGTGCTTTTATTAAATGCTATGGATTAGTTGAAAGCTAATGAATGAACTAAGCCAGATTTGTTGATACTCTGCTTTCTGAAATATCCTTTATCTTCAGCAAAAATTAAGTTCTGCCCTGCAGAATTAAGCCACTTACATGAATAATCTTTTACCATGTAAAAGTTAAAGGGGCAGTTTAAGACCATCATTTAATTAAAGAGTTTGAGGTTTGCTGAATCCCCAAGGGTAAGATAATTTTATGTCAGGAAACAGAAAACAGGGCTGAGGTTGGATCATCCCTGGAGAGCAGTGTGCTATAGCCTATGGGAGGTTGCAGTTTTTCTTTTTCTTTTTCTCTTTTTTTGTCTTTTCAGAGAGAAAGTGTGGGAGAAATAGTGGGTTGTCCACTCACACGTACTGACTTGGTAAACTCCGACAGACTGTCCAAACCTGAGCAGGGAATTTCTGCTTTGAAAACTGTATTCCATTGAGATATCATTTTGATATGCATTATATACCATACGATGCCAAAAGTGTAAAACACATGGAAACGTGTACACATGCAATGTAAACCTGGAGGAAAACTCACAAAACTCAAAACCATTTTGCCTATTTTCAGGTTATTTCTATTTGGATTATTTCTAGGCAATGAGGTTATGGATGGCTTTTATTTTCCTCTTAGTATTTTCTGTATTTTCCAGGTTTTTCCAGAATCAGTTAGCATAACTGCTTTAAAAGAGTAAAGTTTTTAAAAATATTTCCATAAACCAGGGTTTCTCAAACAGACTTGACTTTGTAGTCCAAAGGGACATTTAGTAATGCCTGGAGACATTTTTGGCTGTTATGGGAGGCTGCTACTGGCACGTAGGAGGCAGAGGTCAGGGATGCTACTAAACATCCTCCAGTCTACAGGACAGTCCCCACTGCCCCATCCAAGGGTTCTCCAGCCCAGGTCAGCGATAGCGCTGAGGTTGGGAAACCCAGCTCTAAACAAAGAGAGAAGACTTACATTCAGTGTAGATATCAGATTCAGTGTCTGTGCTGCCTGAAATGGTGAGAAGGGCCTGAGATCCAATACTATTCAAGTCAACCTTTTCAATGTCAGATACCATGGAATTCACGATATGCTGGTCAAAAAGAGCTGGTCGAGCAATCTACATAAGGTGAAAAAGAAAACCACTAAGCTGTATCATTGACCGCCCACTGAAAGAAAAGTTCTAGCTTCTAGAGAAAGAGTTCCTTAAGGAATCTTAAATAACTCTTTTCTTATTTTAAAACTAAAAGCAGTAGTTGAGACTCATGATCTTCTCTGTTATAGGTTTAAAAACTATTTTGGGGATAGGAAAATAAATTTTTTTATCAATGGTCATAACATAAGAATTTTACAGTGTTACATTTACCTGGAACTATCCCAAGCTAGTCTTTCAAAACTTAGGGGCCTAGAAACCTTCATAAAAAGAATGATCATTTGAGAGGAGGGGAAATATATTTTAACAATATACAAACATGTAGTCCTAATTTAAGAAGTACTTTTTTCTCCCAATTTAAGATAATCAAATTAACAGGTAGTTTAAAATGTGTTGTGGGTTTCACAACATCCAATATCACATAGGCTCATTTCCCCACAACCTACTAATGTTATTAATTGGATTCACTTATTAATTGGATTCACATGGTAACTAGGGATTCTACATTTTATACTGCATTCAAAAGATTTTTTCTTTTTTTTTTTTTTACTATTTTGAAATAATGTAAAATTTACCAAAAAAGTTGCAAAAAGAGTGTAAAGAAGTATTTCCATGTTCTCTGTCCAGCTTCTCCTAATGTCATCATCTTACATAACCATTTTGTATTACTAAAATCAGGAAATTAATGTTGGTACTACTAGTAACTAAACTACAGACATAATTCAAATTTCATCAGTTTTCCCAGTAATGTCCTTTTTCTGTTCTCACATTCACTCTAGGATCTCATACTGCATATTTTAATTGTTGTCTACTTAGTCTCCAATCACTGAAAGTTCCTCAGTCTTTGCTAGCAGGTGATTTGTTTTTGATTTGGTAACTCAAACACCTCCGGCTTCCCAACGTACCTGAGCAAGGTGCAAGAACGATGTTTGTCGTTTCAGAGAAGATACAAATCTTCGCACAATAGGTATTTTCTTGTCAGTCAGAGCTTCTGGCAAATTTTCCAAGGATGAAACTACCCACTGTTCCCAATTTTTAGCAAAATTTCTTATGTCTGCTAATAAGCTACAAAAAACCCCAAAGAACAAAAAACTATGTATTAAATGCTAAGTAGTTCAAAATGCATTAAATAAATGCAGTTTAATGGAGGGATGCTATTAATGATTCCAAGAACATGACTTTGAAGTCAGATGGACTCAGCCTAGGTTTGCCATTTATCATCTTGGTCAAAACAGTCTTCTGAAGCTCCAGTTTCCTTGTCTTTAAGTGGGAATAAGAATAGTACCCATGTTACAAGATTATTCTGAGGGTTACAAGAAATATTCATGGAAAGTACTCAGGTTAAAACTTGGCATGCAGAGAGTGATCAAGAAGAAATACTTTATTATTAATAATATTAACTCCTGTTTCAGTCATTTTCTATAAAATATTTCTGGGAAAAGGTAAGTGTGCACTTGAGTTTGCATATCTTGATTTCTTGGGGATTATAATGTCATTTTAGGTATTTAATATTAGTTTCTAGTTACATATTCTTATATTCCAAATGTAACTGTGAGACTAATTATCATACTAATGATATTTAGTATTTTATATGTATACTTTATTTAGAAAGTTGCAAATGTAGGTTGGGTATATATTATCAAAACATACAAAAGTTTTTAAATCAGTCAACAATCTACATATTATAGATCTAAGTATCTTTGGGATAGTGCATATGTAAGGAACAGTGACATGGTACAGGAAAAAGAATAGCCAGAGTTTGGATTTAAACAGACTTCAGTTACAGTCTAGGCTCTGCTTCTTACTAATCAGCTGACTCCGGGATTAACTTCTTTCTACCCCCAGGTTCCTTTTTGTGAATTTGGGGTCATAATAGTTTCTTTGGAATACTCTAACAAAATGTGTTTTTAAAAATTCAGACATAGAAAACAAACTTATGGTTACTGGAAGGGAAAAGGGTAGGAAGGGATAAATTGGAGTTTGAGATTTGCAGACACTATATAGATATCTGTATAAAATAGATAAACAACAAGTTTCTTCTGTATAGCACAGGAAACTATATTCAATATCTTGTAGTAACCTATAATGAAAAAGAATATGAAAACAAATATATATGTGTGTGTGTATACACACACACACACACACACACACACATATATATATATATGACTGAAAAATTATACTGTACACCAGAAGGGGATACAACATTGTAAACTGACTATACTTCAATTAAAAAATTCCACTTAGCAAATGATAAGGAATTGGTTAAATAAGTAAGTATTTTTCAGATGTCGGAAATCTATGCAATTATTTAAAAAGAGAATGTTGATCTGTATTTGTTGATATGGAAAGGTTTTCACTGTCTGCTGCAATAGTATATATACTATGATCTTATTTTTAAAAATGTGTATATTTACAGATATTCCTAGAAGGAAGTCTGCGAGATAATAACCTAAGACATTAAGAATGTGGGAAGATTATGAGTGATTTTTAAAATGTGCTTATGCATGTTTTTCATTTTCTACCATGAATATGAACTACTTGCATACTTAAGAGATAAATACATAGATAGTATTTTTCAGGCTGGTTGTAGGAATTAAGTGAAATAATTTCTGCAAAGTCTCAAACCCCACACTGTGTTTAATAAAAGTCAGCTACTATTACTATTAGTTACATGGCTACATGTCTGCCACTACTAAAATAAATTTCATTACTTCATTAGAATTGTGTTTTTTCAAGCCTTTATGTTGTTCTCACATCAGAAAAGACTTTATGAAAAATCTTGAAGCATCATTTCAATTTGAGACTTTATTCCTTTGCTGAAAGAAGGTGGTAATTCCATTATGCTACTCTCTGATTTTGCAATTAGGATCAAAGTGATAATAAAGATAAAATAATTTTCCTTATAGTCTTTATTATCATGGTTGCTTTCCATCAAGTATCCCCATGTATCTCCCTCTAGCCAGTTTCCATTGGAAGAACTTTGTCAGTGTCTTGAAGGTCAACCACTCTTAAATATTTATTTTTCACTTGGGCAGCTCTCAAATTAAGGGATTTCAGGATTGTTCCATTGATTTTGTTCACTGAGGTTTGAATGTAAAGACTGAGGCACATCTCTTACAGTTAAGACAAAGGGACAGGAGCAGGAAAACAATCTTGGTAAATGAATGCATTTCTGCTTCATGTTTTCCTTTTACTATAAGGTACAAGGTTAAACCCTATACAAGCAACTATTGTATTTTGTTTTATTGTCTGAACCTACCTTTCAGGCATTTCTTGCATTGTTGCAGGAATGAGTACATCTGTAAGAACCTTAATCACAGCAAAAGAGAGTTAACATAAAACTTTACTTAGTATTTCTAGAGAAACACACGTATTCTTTGTCTATTACTTTTTATTCCTAGCTTTCCAGAGAAAAACATGTTAACTCATTTCTGAAAATTATACTTTTATCTCCTAAATGAAAGTATGCCCAAGTTATGTGTGTGTGTGTTTGTAAAAAGGTAAGGGGAGCGGGGCATTTAGAAACATGGCTGTGGTAGGTTAAGCAGATGACACTAATGTCCTGGGTACACAGAGCTAATTATCAGAGCAGAAAGAATTCTGAAAAGAAAGGGCTAGACTGAACCTTAAACGTGGGTGAGATGGTGAGTAGGACCTTGATGAGAACCAGTAGAAAGAAGAAATTAGTGCTGACCGATCCTGGCTAGGGAGAAAGTATGATAAATAAAGGAGATGGGGAACCAGACGGGATAAGGGCAGTCCAGATGACCGAGGCTGGCCAGTAAACTGAGTGTGCCAGCCTGGAGAAGAGGACCAAGAGCTCTAGAGGAGAAGATATTTCAGACTGTGGGCAGACACTCATCTACAATGGCCTGTGTAGCCTACCTGCAAAACGCACACGTATTCTCTGTATATGAGACTCTAAAACAAGACACAGCATTGCACGTGCCCAGTATGTTAGTTACTAATGGATTGGCCTTGGGAGTCATGTACTGTTTTATGGGCTAAGCTGACCACGCTCTAGAGGTGGCATGAAGGTCTTGCAGAAGCTCATTTTACTCTGCTCTATTGACAGTGCTCACTGTGCCTCCCTGGGTCCACCGTGAGGAGGGAAAACATTGTGCATGCAAAGGTACTTAACCTCCAGACTTCTGTGTTGGACTCAAAGAAAATGGACCATATTGGGGAAGGGGGGCGGTGGAATCTATGCTTTAAAGGTATTTTTTGGAGGTGTTGAATGATAGTCCAAACAGTGTGACCTTGATACTGGTAAATGTGTGTGCATGAGCCCAGGTCTTAAAAAAACTCTGAGAGCCATCTTCTTTCCCCTTCCTGGTGACTTTCTCATGTCTTAAACACTGCAGACAATCAGTTAGTGCCAACTAAACCCTTTCTCTCTAAATAATGATATTCTTACTCAGACCAGAAGAGAATGAGACAATCCTCACTCTCCTTCATCCTTCTTCAATTTTAACTTGAACTCAATGGGTCAAGAACACACTGCACTTACTCCTCCTTTCTCTCATTCTGCGATGAGGGAGAACTGAACACAGGATGAAAATATGGGCTCCCTCACTCTGGTTCAAGCCCACCTACAGTCCTTGGTGGGCAAAATGGCTCCAGACTGAGTTTATCTGGCTTTTGCTTCACTTCTCTGCAAAGCTGGGAATGTGTTAGCAGCAATTAATTTTGAGGGGTTTTATCTAAATGCTTAACAGGGCTCCAGCTTCGGTTTCCTTGCTGACTCAGATTATGTTTTAAAAGGAAAGCTTTTGTTTTCCCTTATGACAATTTAGCAGGTAAATCTAGACAGACTGACTTTAAAATACCCAGATTGCAATACAGTTTTCTGCCTCAGCGTGGACTGGGGGCTGCTCTAACTGGAGAACAGACTGTTGGGGAATTAGCTTCACCCCCCTCCCTACTGAATGTCTGGCTAGATAGCCAACCAGATCATCTTTGCTTCTGATGTTCTCATGACCCATCTGTAGACACTGAAGGGCTCTTACATGGTTCAAGAACAGAATTGGACGTTAGTGCATTAAAGTTAGAGATTTCCAATATTTTCAAGTTACTCATCCCATAAGAGTTTCCCCAAAATATTGACACTGTGAAAAAGCCACTCTGCTATTTACTCTGAAAACACCTTAAGCAATTAATAAAAATTAACTAAGTTTTCATTTATTAGTTAAGTGTGTCACATTTAGAATCATTCTTGTCTATAAACAGAAGTTGATTTTCTTTTACCTAATGTAAATTTACATTAAAAATACATACATTATTTAACATTCACTATTAAATTGCTTGCTTTCTCAGCAGAAAAATGTTAATAATATATCTCCAGCCAGAAATAACAAATTTATAGAAAACACATTGCAAAATTTTAGATGGAATACTCTTTGAAGAAATATATAATTCTCATTTAAGACATCCTAAAAGAGCTTACCTTATAAAGAATCGAGTCACAAACACAGAAGATGTCAATGATAACAGGGTTTTCAAGCAGGGGTAGAAGATGATCAGGCATTCCTTGCCAAAAGTGTAATAAGAAATGCTGGATCTAGTCGAGAGCAAAGAGTACGTACATGAAGATATTTCCTTAGCGTGAACGCACATGAAGAATAGGACAAGAATGTATACAGAACACGGTCAGCAAAGCAGTCTTTGTTGCTCTTACCTCTTCAAAGTTTCCATTTATTGCATTGTCCAGGATGCACTGGCAGTGAGTTTTGTACATCATTATGAGGGTATCAACCTATTTCAAGGAAGAAAAAGCTTAATAAAAGTATCCTTTCAACACTGCCTTCATCTGTTAATGCACTCATTTGTTCGTATGCTCAAACACATTTTTAAAGCTCCTGTTATGTACCAGGCATTGTGCTCAATGCTGAGGAACCAAAAATAAAGGCACAGTTCTTATCTTGAGGAGCATACTGCCTTGTGAAGGAAGAAAGGCAAGCAAATGGACAATTACAGTAAAATATAATAATAATAATGAAAAAAGGCGATTGTGCAGGCCAAAGCAACTTTGTAATTTTCTGCCTAATAAGAAAATTACCTTTGACTGGAGAAATAAACACAAAATGGTAAACTACATGAACTCTTCACACAGTTTTGTTAAGTGGGTGCTAGGACACTGCAGTATGGTGGTTTCAGGTATAGAGTCAGCTAACACGGAGCACCACCTCCACTGCATCACTTTGCACGATTGCTTTGTCCCTGACCCCAGACTTTCTATTTTTAAGTAAAGTAATAATATTACTCACATGGTATTAGAGAAGATTAAATAAAACATGTGTAATGCACATAGCCCAGGTCCTGATACACAGCATAAGACCTCACTATATTACCTAAAATTAGTAATAATATCAAATGACTTATTTACCAAAAAAGATATGAACATTAAATGTTTGTTATGAAAATTCTCCATTTCCATGTTACCACTGATACTTGTATTGCATAGTTTAAAAGTTTTAAATATATTTTAAAGTTTGCAATGGATTAGAACTAGATAATATTCTAGCAAGCAAATAATATTCAAATTCAAATAATCTTTATAAGCTAGAAATATTCCTACCTGTTATGGGTTGTGTGCTCAATGTGAACAGAAACAAGGTTTAGAGGTTAGAGGTGTGAACTTTGCCTACAGAGTACCTGGGTTTGAATGACAGCTGTCATTGGCCACTTACTAGCTATGTGATGTTGGGCAAGTGACAGCATTTATGTGTTTTAATTTCCTCATCTATAAAATTGAGATGATAATACTCGCAAATATCCAACCAAGTTGTTATGAGGGCTAAATAAATTACACATGTGAAGTGGTTGGAGTAATCCATAATCTAAGTTAAGAAATTGACTGTTGTTAGCTGTTTTTATCCTCATAGTATCCAGGGTGCTGATGGTGATGGAGGTGTCCTACCCCAACCCTTTGTTCTCCAGTCTTTATCCCTGCAGCCCATCGATAGCACACATCTTTGTGGTTTAGCTCAAAGCTGTATAATGATGACCTGCAAATTACCAACCTATTTCCAAGGAGGTATGCTGACTACAGGACACTTCTGGCAGGACATGTCACCATTAATGTAATTGAGACATGCTCTTTAATTGAAGCAACGATATTATATTTTTAGATAGGTCTCCAAGACATATTTTTAAAATGAGGATGACAGCATGAAAGATAGGAAACTATTCATAATTGTTGTCAAAAATTAACCCTTTGATCCCTGAAACCTACTTTTACCTATATGTGTCAATTGTTTTCTTCTGTATACAAGCCATCAAAAATTTTAAATTGTACTGTTGGTACTTTGATATTTACATTATCTTGGGACAACAAATTATCACTGTATCATACTTTACATCTTTATAAACATACTTGTGCTCAGTTTTCTGAGAATAGACATTACATTACAGAGGGCAGAAGGCTTAGCTGTAGTGAAGTCAGTGAGCATGTGGTGGGGGAGCGGGTAGAAACTGTCCTGAGTGACACTGTGATTGGGCAGAAAGCAGGCCTCTCAGCTTCAAGCCAACACCCCACAGTGGGGTCAACTTCTTACAGTCTCCCTCCCTTTTGCCCCAAGAAAGCAGGTGCTTAAGGTGCTTAGCTTCAGCTCCACGCCTCTTTCTAGAAACTGACAAATTACCAGGGGAACTTGGTTACTGGCTCAGAAGGTAAAAGGGGGGACCCAGCTGCCCTCAAGGGACAAAGGGTATTAGTCCCTGGTGCTCACGGCGGGGACCACTGGGAATGAACTTAGAGACCAGGGGTTATTTAAGCATCTTGAATCCTGAGTGAGAAATGATCTCTAGACCCATTTTTCAAGTTGACAGGTAAGGAATTCCTTGGAGGCTAGCAGAGAAGCTGAAACTAACTATTGGCACATGTTCCTCACCTTTTTTTGTCTTTGTTACTCTCTCCATCCACACCCCTCACCTGGTATATTTACACAGTAAACATCTTCATGATGCCTTTGCCTGTAAGCAGTCCTCTCCACAAAGGCGAGCCAATCTCCCCTAAAGAACTGTGTTCCCTCGGGGCCCGCAGATTCCCACAGGGTTCCCCACAAATTGCTGCACGTTAACATTTACTAGAGGGGTCTCATGTCTGACGGCATAATATAACACATTACAAGGCTTACAAAAATGATACAATTATCTTGAGAAAAGTGATGGGAAAGGAGAATGGTAAGAAGTGGACACACTTCAGGAGACTCGCTTGGAATCAGCATCTGAGAATTATCTTCAATATTTAGCCTGTTCTTACCTAGGAGAGCATGTCTGTCATCAGAACGAACCCTGGAAATGACTGTGCATCTCCGCTTACCTATCAATGGAACTTTTTAATCAGTGTGTTATTTTTATTTCCAGTTTCTATGGAAGCCCATTACTAAAGTAATACAGCTGGACATTATTCATCATATTCCTCTATCTTTATACCTCAAAAGTATGAACTGACTTAAATACACCAGGAAAGATATTTTCCCCAAATGCTAATTTAAAATGACCTTCAATTAAAAGAAGAATGCAGAAATCTTTATGCCCTGATTTAATAATGGATCCCAGTATTAGTCAGCCCCTAGATACCCAGAAAATAACTCTAGAAGTTCAGAAAAAGAGGAAGATTTAGTCTCAGACTTTTACTACATAAATATTAAAAAGTCAGATCAAGGATTATTTATAAACTGAATTTCATGAAACTGTTTCTTCCTTAACTTTCAAAAATTTTTGCAACAGACCACAGAGGTTTAGAATTGAAAGGAACCTTTGGAATCTTTGAGCAGGGTCCTTGCATTCATCTAGGCATCTTGCCCTCAGTGCTAGGAACAAATTCTGTCCTAGAGAAGTGCTTGATGACTATTTACTGAAATTATATGGAACTAACTGAAAATATAGTGCTTATAATTAAAGAAATTTCATGTGAGTGACATAATATAGTATTTTCTTTCATGACACTGAGTTTTAAATAAAAAAATAATCTTTAGTCTTTCGAGGTTTATTTTACTACCTTCTGATTATATACTATCATGGAGATGGTAAATAATTAATTGGAAAGTGTTTAATCGATGTTAGTAAACGTTTGTCCCTCCTATAAATCAGTCAATTGTGTTTGATTATGCAGATTTCTGACTGCTTCCTGCAAGTACCATGAGATTCCCAGCAAGCTGAGATATGGAACCGACATAGCAGAAAATCAATAGAGAAGTATCTTTAATTGATACCTTGTCTTTAGAAATGCATCCTTGGTACACAAGGTGTTGAGCACTGGGGAATTCTGGAAGAAGTGTTCCAGTTTTTGAGCTAAGCGAGTATTTACGTGTGAAGCCACCCTATAATTTAGAAAAAAATGAAAAGAAAGAAACCATTATCAACTATTTGGCTCCAAAATACAATTCGAACAAAATAGAAACCTGTAAAATTTCACCCTTCTTCATTCTGCAAACCATGATGAATTAGGAGATTTGGCAAACTGTTCAGATCAAGTAACTGAATAAACTAGACATTTCAGCAGAATTATTACTGCCAAAGCATAAATAGTTTTATAGTCGGAATATTTTTCTTATTACTTTGGATTTTAGTTTTAAACATCTCTCAGTTTTCACAGCTTTTAGAAATTTGATTTTAGTTCACAAGTTTATATTTGTTAATGACATACGTTTTGAAAGATCTACTTTCAGACCACTGAAATTATTATAATATGAGAAGATCAGAAATTGCCAAATCCATTTATGGATTACTAAATCATTTATGGATTAAATAAAGTTAATTTACTGAGCCTCACAATTAATTAGTAGTAAAATTGTGATTGGAGTCTAACCGTTGAGATTCCCAAACTAGTACTCTGGATTTTCCTCAGCTCAAACTTCCCCGCCCTAAATTCAGATATTTATTGCTCTTTTGAATCCTTTGGGGAAAGCACAGCTCTGACAGTTTTCAGAAAATTAGAAAAAGTGACAAACAAATAACAGTGCTAACATACCTATAAGAAACCTGCACAGAAAGACAGAATGCATATTTATGACAGAACCAGAGCCTCAGTAAATCAGTAGAAATATTTGTACACCCATGTTTGTAGCAGCGCTATTTATAACAGCTAAACTATGGAAGCAATCCAAGTTTCCACTGACAAATGAATAGATAAGCAAAATGTTGTATATACATACAACAGAATATTATTCAGCCTTTAAAAAGAAGGAAGTTCTGACAAATGCTACAACAGGGATGAACCTTGAGGACATTATGCTAAGTGAAATAAGCCAGTGACAAAAAGATAGTGTATGATTCCACGTAAATGATTTACCTAGAGTAGTCATAATCACAGAGACAGAAAGTGGAATAGTAGTTTCCAGGGACTGGGGAGGAGGGGAAATGGGGAGTTATTTTTAATGAGTATACAGTTTCGGTTTTGCAGGATTAAAAGGATTCTGGAGATAAATGGTGATGACAGCTGTACAACAATAAGAATGTACTTAATACCAGTGAACTATATGTGTACTTAAAAATGCTTGAGTAAAATTTTATGTTAATTATATTTTACCACAATGAAACAATAAAAAAAAATTATGATGAAACAAGAACGTAAGTGTTAAGAGTAACCTTATACTTTTAGAAGAATAAATAGAAAAATACTTCTGTGATCTGGATTACATACAAATTTTTTAAAAAACAAGATATTAAAAAAAATGCTAATCATAAAATTTAAAATTATCTTCATTGAAAGACACTATAGAATGCTGAGCCATGTCACCAACAGGGAGAAGTTATTTACAACATATTACAGGATATCAGTATCCAGAATATATAAAGAAGTCTTTGAACCAAATTTTTAAATAGAAATTTTATGTGATCTGAACAAATGTTTCCTAGAATATAACTGACCAAAGAAGATATTCAAGCTCATATTTTGCCATGCAGTTATCAAAAACAATTTTCAAGTGAAAGCCACAGATACTATTTTATCCCCATTGGACTGGCAAAAACTGAAATGTCACTCAATGCCAAGTGTTCCTTAGAATGTGAGCAAAAGGAATGCTCACATATAGCTGGAGAGACATAAATTGACATAATCATTTTGGAAAACAACTTGATCTTAACTAGTAAAGTCAAACACCCCAGGACCCAGAATTCCATTCCTATCCACATGCACCTGGAGCACACTCATAGCAATATTGTTTTCAAACAAAAAGGAAAAAAATTCCACCAAAAATGGAATGAGTGAATGCATTGTGATATTTTCATAAATGGAATATTAGCAGTACAAATAAAGGTACGAGAACTTCATATATTAACATTAATGAATCTCAAAACCTAATGTTGAATGAAACCAGAAAGTCATAGGAAAAAAATGAATCCATTTCTACATGGGGCAAATAATAAACAATATGTTGGTAATAACAAACTGGGCAGGAATAAACAATGCATATCATTTACTATTTTAATCATTTTCAAATATACATATCAGTAGTACAAAGTACATTCATAATATGTAATCATCACCACATTATTTAATATTTATACCATACATTCATAAGCGATAAACTTCAAGGAAAAACAAAGGAGTGATGAACAGCAAATTTTGGAAAGCAGTAATTTTTGATAGGGAGGAGAATTGGAGCGGGAGCACGAAGAGGATTTTTTTAAGCTACGCGATTAAAACCTGAGTTTTTATCTTATGCTTGTTTTTAAAACTCTGTGTGTGTGCATGCATAGATTACAAATAATACATTTCCCAATTAAAAAATGTTAGCGTGGTAAGAAAACACATATTAAGGAACAGAATATATGCCTCTTATTATAATACTTATTTAAAACTCTTGTGTTGATAAATAATAGTTTAGTGCAATAGGAGCCAGCAGCAACATGTGTGAGCATCAGCAGGGGGCAAGGGTGCCCAGGGAACAATTTTAAAGGTTAGATTTGTTTGGGTACGTTAACAGATGTGCACAAAGCTGGTGTAAATCAAATTACAATATTCTGTCCATTTATAACACAAAAAGAAAGGAGAGACTGATAAACTGGTACAAATTAAAATATGATCATTTTCATTCTATTAATAAATTTGCTATTTTAATTGCACTAAAAGAGGTGCCAGGTTTTAGGCCAGGTATGGAGGTTTGGGCTTTTTTTTCCCCCTCTCAACTGATGACTTCAGTACTTTTGGGTGAACTATTAAGAACCTTATTTCGAAAAGAAAACAAGGAACCTACAGAAAAAGAAACAATATGATTAGAAGGCAAGAGGGTCTGATTTATGAGGAAAGATTAAAGGATTTAAGCTGCAAAGTTTGGCTAAGTGATGACTAAAAGAGAGCATGATAACAGTCTACAAATATTTGAAAAGCATATACCAAGGAGGGAGGATTTGTTATTTATCTTGGTGCAAAGTTGTTAAACTGGCCGTGAATGGTTGATGTTAAGGAGAAGGAAACTCAGGCTATCTGGGAAACTTCCTGGTTGAAATGGATGAAATCAAGGGACTTATTCCCTAGGACATAATGGCAACTTTATAGCTTGAGCTACCGAAAACATAATGGGACCCACGCTGGAAGATTCACAGGAGAAGAAAGGCTTTCTTTGACAAGGACCGAGCATTATAAATAGATTTTGTTTGTTTTATTCTTGGAAATCAAAGGATTCTGAGATGTTCTCTAACACATTTTTGAATTTGAGCCACTACATTTATGAATAAAAAATTTAAAACAAGCAAAAGTCATACCACTGACTGATGATTAGTCTTGCTTTCCTCTTCCTGTCTTTTGGTTTTGCTTTTGTTGTTGTTGATTTTGTTTGCTTTAATATTATGAACTATTTAAAACTTTAAAAAGGATATAGATAAAAAAAAGTAATAAGTACTCATTGTACTTAAAATCCTGATTAAGACATTAGATATCTGAAATATTGAAGCAGCTTCTGTGCGGGAACTTTCAGCTTTACTAGATATTTCCTCCACTACCATTTATGAGAGTTTCTTTGCTCCAAATTCTTTTTTAAATTTTAATTTATTGAAGTATAGTCAATTACAATGTTTCCGGTGTACAGCATAATGTTCTAGTTATGCATATATATACACGTATTTGTTTTCATATTCTTTTTCATTAAAGGTTACTACAAGATATTGAATACAGTTCCCTGTGCTATACAGAAGAAATTTGCTTTTTATCTATTTTTATATGTAGTGGTTAACCTTTGCAAATCTCAAACTCTCAAACCCCTTTTTTCCAGTAACCATAAAATTGTTTACTATGTGAGTCCATTTCTGTTTCGTAGATGAGTTCATTGGTGTCCTCTTTTTTCTTTTCCTTTTTTTTTTTCCAGATTCCACATATGAGTGATATCAAATGGTATTTTTCTTTCTCTTTCTGGCTTACTTCACTTAGAATGATGATCTCCACTATCATATTTGTATATGTATACAAAATGGGATAATTTTTTCCCCTTGTCTTTCTTTTGACTTCAAATTTTGTATATGATGCTTTGATTTAAAGAAGTTCTCAATTTCTGTTTTCACTTTCTTCTTTTAAAATTTCTTAAATTGCTTTCATGCTTAGAAACTCACTCCCCATTCAGAAATGAGGTAGGTACATGTTTCCTTCTATAAATTTTGTATATGATGCTTTGATTTAAAGAAGTTCTCAATTTCTGTTTTCACTTTCTTCTTTTAAAATTTCTTAAATTGCTTTCATGCTTAGAAACTCACTCCCCATTCAGAAATGAGGTAGGTACATGTTTCCTTCTAATTATTATTTTTGTATTTAATAATTTATATGAAATTCAGAAAAGGCATGAGATACAGAAAATTTTTTTCTGAAATAGTCCATTTTTTCTAACATTATGTCCTGAAGAATTTTATTTACTTATTTGGTACTCCATCTTCCTCCAGAAAGGACTTAAGACAATTCATTGAAACATACTTTCTTCCTTCAGTGGTTGTAATGTTTCCTTGACCACACACTAAATTATTATATATGCTAGAGTCTTTTTTCAGGTACGTAATCTCTGCTGTAGATTTGATCTACCTACATTTGAGTCAGTCTCATAATATTTTGATATCTGCCAGACAAGTCCCCTTCGACTTGTTTATAATTCTCTCAACTATAACTTCCTATATATTCTTTTAGGTAAAGTTTCTAGCCATTTTAATCATTTCCAAAAATAATTACCCACTCAAATTTTTAACAGAGCACTAAATGTCTAAATTAATTTAGGAAGAATTAACACATTCATAGTATCAAGCATTCCCATCCAGGCATGTGGTATGTCCTTCCATTTAAAATTTCCTTTTATACTTGTATTTTTTCAAGCATGAAATATTCTGTTATTATGATTCCCCTTTTATGGTTGTGCCCAAATATTTTGTGTTTCTGCTGGTTCCTGCAATTTAAATGTTATAATGTCCTTCCTTTCTTGTCTTCAACAGAGATTGTTCCCACCTCCCCCAGCAGGGAATCTCTGAGAAAATTAAGACCTGTAGAAAGGATTTGATTGACCATTTTCTCAGTTCCCCCAAGGACGGCACTCAGCCAGTCCATTCTGAATGCACAGAAGAGTTCACTCCCTACATACAATGGGTGCCTCGAGGCTTTAGGGCATTGAGAACAGCCAGGACTTTTTTAAAGTTCCTCAAACTCCTGCCAAAAAAATGACCTAACAGACTGCTGACTAATCCCTCAGAGAGAAATCCCAAACCACCAAACTATCTCAATTTCCTGCCACAAAAGCTACAAACCTACTTGCATCCTGACAAATACCATTCCTCTTTCCAGTTTTAATGAAGTTAGTGTCCCTTCTCTCGAGGGCCACTTCCTCCACTCTGAAGGTCTCCCCTGCCACCTCTTCTGGGACACTGTACTCTCAACTTCCCCCCCTTTCACAACCTCAGTCTCTACTCTTTCACTGAGTCTGTTTTACCGACATTAGGACCATAGTCTAATCATCCCTCAGAACTAAATTTCAAGTTCTCCTCCAACAATCACCCTCTGCCTGAATAAGTTTTCTCCATCTAATGCCACTGCCCACTCATTTTATAAACCAATCAAACCCCAGCTTCCCACTGCAAATGCTCTTCCTGCAGCCATTAATTATCTCCACTTAAGTAATTTCATAGATCTTTTCCAGTCCTTATCTTGATGACCTTTTAGCACCATTTGATAGTAGCAACCATTCTCTTCTGTTGGAAGCATTTTCTTCTCTTGGCTTCTGTGTCACTATATTCATCTTTCTCTCATCTCTCTGGACTCTTCTCAGTTTCTTGCTGACCTTCTTTTTTCCCGCTTTTTACAAATCTTTTCTCATATCTTCTTCTCCTCTCATTTATTTTTCACCTAGGCATTTTTATCCACTACCATGACTTTAATCACCACCACACTGAATATCTAAGTCCTCTTGTCCAGTCATATATATCCAACTGTTCGTTTCAAGTCCACACTGGATGTTTTACAAGCGCATCAAATATGGCAAGTCCCATATTGAACCCATTATCTTTCTATTCTTCTAAATTGTGAAATAAAATTCACATTTTATGGCATGACAAGAAAAACATAAAACATTTTCTCTTTGGCCTCCTCTCTCCCCACTGTGCATTGTGTGTCTGTGTTACGTATCGACCAAACCTCCCCATCAGCAGGAATACCTGCTCAACCATGAAGAACAACATTCTTCTGGCATCAACAAGACAACTCCTTAAAAAATAATATTCCTTCTTGATCTTGGAGGGGGCCATGGTGACACTCAGATCTGGATTGTGTAAACTGTCAATCATACATCCTTTAATGTACAGCCCTCTGTCTCTGTGCCTTACATAACTGTGCCTTAACTTCTAACAGGCGAAAGTTCTCAGAGCTTTCTGAGATGCTCTTCCTGGGTTATAATCTTGAAATTTGGCTTAAATAAAATTTTCCATTGCTTTCTTAGACTGATTGATTAATTTTTTGTCGGCAGCCTGCTTCTCTCCCAGTGTTTCCTGCTAAAATCAGTCCTTCTTCCCACCTCTAGGGCTACTATTCTAACACGGATATTTTCTTACCAAGACTATCCATGTATCTGCAACAGGATGTGCCTCTTGTTTGCCTCTCTGTATGCCAACGTTTGGGTTTTGGCAATGTCAGAGACAGTTTCGGTTTTCACAACGAGGGGAGGGGGGTGCTATTGGATTCTGGTGTATAGAAACCAGGGACATCCAGCAATGCACAGAACAAAGCCGGCTACACAGAATTATCTGGCCTAAACTATCAACAATACCAAGGCTGAGAAATCCTAACCTATGCTGTTCCATCTGTCTGGATCACTCTTCCTCTCCCTTCCCCTACACCACTCCTCCTCCAAACTCCCACTTATTCTTAGCTCTTTCTTTAAATGTCACCTCCCGTGGGGAGTGTCCTTAACCACTTAAACTAGGTTAACCCTCATGACACCCTTTACGATTACTTATGATTACTTGTTCAGTATATGTTTTCCGGCTACAAGGTAAAGGATCAAATCTATCCATTCACTATTTTGCCCCCTGGTACCTGTAACATCATATATCTATTGATTAACCTCTCAACCATAGGTCAAAAAAATAGAACTTCATTCTGAAGTTTTAAGAAAACAAACACATCTCTTGGCTTCCAGTTTCCTTAACTGTAAATTAGCAATATTATCACTTATTTTCCCTATCTCACTGTTATTAATATTCAAATGACCTGAAGTATAGGAAGGTTTGCACTGAAAGTCTCATATCCTGAGCAAACTATAAGCTTTGGTCATTCTATGTACAAAATAATTTTTTGTAATTTCAACTTCATTAAACAAGTATTTTATTATCATTTAAAAATATTTAGAGTATTTCTGAGCCTTTAGAAAGCCCTTAATTGTGTTCATTTATAGAATCATCACAATAATGACACTCATTGCTTCAGGTAGCTTTAGAAAAGTAGGCTGCATAGCCTAACCAAAATATTTTATTTTTACCTTATTGACAAAACCTACACCTCAGTTTTTATCGTGCTCTTCTAAACAGGAAGCGTTAGACTTGAGAAAGATTTTTCTTCCATTTGATAAAGCAAGGCTTGCCATACACACACTGTATCAGCTAATGGATCGCTGGTAACACCAGCCTCATCAAAGTGGTAAAAAGAACACCTGAGAGAAATTAGTTAAATTCCCTATTGACACAAACTTCAGTCAACTGAAGTGCATTTCTAAGTCAATATTTTTGCACTTTCACAACTGTTTATCCAATAAAGAGCTATTATTTCATTGATAAAAAGAGCAATCTGGAGGATTTTTATTATGTAATTAGCCATTAACTGTATTAAAAGCACTGGTGGAAAGCAATTGGTCATTTCAGAGGGTTGGGGGCTTTATATTAGTTTTTAAGATAATATGCTTGCATCATTTCACCAAACTAATGGAGTTACAATTTACCTCTGGTCCAGATTCACCACACAACACATTGTCCTGTGCCCTTAGTTCTGTGGCACCTCTTTTTAATGATTAGTTAACTTGAGGATAATGAAGGTCTTATCATGTGCCTAATTAGCCATGCAGTCCCTAATGGTAGTTTAACTCATTTAGATAAAGTCGGTTTGCTGATCTGTTCTTAGGTTGGGGTGAGGAGGGGGAGGGAAGTCTAGGGAGAAAGCGTGTTGCATATGTGGTGTGCCCTTTCTCCCTCGCTTCCACCTCCGCCACCCCCACCCCACCCCCAGTGCAGAAGAGGTCAGCAAACTCTCTCTCTCTCACACACACACACACACACACGGTAAAAATAATCATGGTATAGCATTTGGGCTTCTTGAGAACTTCTAAAGATTTTGTCTAAATAGGTATATTTGAAATACCAATTCTTTCTTTTAAATTGGAGTCCATTTACAATGTTATGTTAATATCTGGTGTACAGCATAGTGATTCCATTGTGTGTGTGTGTGTATATATATATACACATATATCTTTTCATTTTTTTTTTCATTATAAGCTATTACAAGGTATTGAATATAGTTCCCTCTGTTGTTACACAGTGGGACCCTGTAGTTGTTTATCTATTTTATATATAGTAGTTAGTATCTGCAAATTCCAAACTCCCAGTTTATCCCTTCACTCTCCTCTTCCCTCCCTGGTAACCACAAATTTGTTTTCTATGTCTGTGAGTCTGTTTCTGTTTTGTAAATAAGTTCATTTGTCTTGTTTATTTTTTTTAGATGCCACATATAAGTGATCTCATATGGTATTTTTCTTTCACTTTCTGGCTTACTTCACTTAGTCTGGTAATTTCCAGGTCCATCCATGTTGCTGCAAATGGCCTTATTTTATTATTTTTTATGGCTAAGTAGCAAAGACCAATTCTTTCCATAGCCTCAGCTTTAGGCTTTTTGTTTATATTTAACAAAATTTTTTGCATCAATATTGTTCTTTTTAAATAATATTTTAAGTATCTGATATTAAGTAAGAATAACTGAAAATTGCCCCTCCTAGGTTAACTGGAGGTTGTTCAGTAGGTCCATGTGAAGGATGATTCATTGCCCTAAACCTAACTTGGCTCTGTCTGATGTCCTCAGTCATTCAAGGGACTCCTAATAAGTAACATTTATTTCTATATTCGCCAGTAAGTATGATTAACTCCTATTGTTCAGCTTTTAATACATGCTATAACAGATATAAAATAGAAATGAAAATAATTCTTACCTCATTCTTCAGCTTGCTTCCAGAAAACCTTAAAAATCAGTACATTTTTCATTAGTTAAAAAAAAATATATATATATATATAAATTATATACACAGGTATAGCTATCAAAGAAATGCAGAGGCCCTACAAAAGTAGTAACTGTATACCATGATTAGTGAAATAAACATGGAGAAATTTGTTTGATCTTCAAAGCGACCCAAGCATCTTTCTCAACTTACTAAAAAGAAAGTCTATTAAGGGAAAGTAAAATAAAGGACATTTAGGCAGGTCAGGTAAGATTTGAGACAATCAGAGAACACTTGATATTAAATATCTGTGTGTGTTCTGGCCAGTGTTTTCACTTCGCAGTGAGTAGTGGCTAGTAAGCTGCTGGTATGTCCTTTGTAATACCTGAGTTCATTTTAGTATGACTCAGGTGCCTAAAATTAATTTTTTTCCAAGAGATACCTTTACTTTTAAAAAATAATTCACTCTTTTGAGAGCTAAGAGCAGTTCTGGTAAATACACCAGAAGGCAATCTCAGATGCAGACTTAGTTATTTGGAGCTCCAGTATTTTAAAAAATAATAATTGCTATTATCACTAATTTCCTTAGATGTCACCTTACTTGTCAATAACCTCCTCCTGAGAGTGACAGCAGATCAGAATGATGTATTTATACTCATTTGTGTATTCTTTTTTCTTTCACAGAGACTCAGTAGCTCAGGTCAGTAGCTTTATCTTACCAAGGTAAGCTGGTATATCAAAGTGTATGTGATTAGAGATGATTATAATAAAGTTTTCATCTTTGTAAGTACTCGCCAAGCACACAGATCTTTAAAACAGGTTATCTCTTAGAAAAAATAATTACATTTTTCTGCCTTTATTTTATTGTATCTAACTTTAAAACAGACTCAGTCTTATAGGTAAACACTAATTTAAAAGCAATATGGCTTCCCTGATTTCTCCTTTACATCTCTCTGGGACACTAGGTTCACTATTAATTTCTCATCAATGATTGCAAACCATATAAACTGCCCAGTCACTGTAAATGTCCACACAAAGTTGAAATTCAGGTCTGATAGTTAAAAGAAAACATTTCAATAAACAAAATTAATAATTAATCTATTTTATTCAATAGATATCATACAAATTCAAAGACATACAGAGAACTTATCCTGAAGACAGTGGAACTCTACCTTGTCAGGCCTTTTCCAGAATACACAGAGTGGTAATATGCACTGCTCTCTTTGATGCCAATTCCATAATAGTGATACCTAGAGCAAGAACAGGAACCAGCTATGTGTTAATTTACGAATTTTTTCAAGGGGAAAAAGAGACTAAAGTATAATTGAAGTAAACCATAAGTAAGAACTGCAATCCCCTTGATCAGTATTTTTTTTCCTGATTTTTTTCAAAGTAACATCTTAATGTGTTTAATCCCTCTTTAACGGTAACTAATCCTCCTTCCAGTCGTATTTCTGGCTCTAGGCTTGAGAAAGACAGGAGAATCGCCTACTGCCAATCCCCCTCAAACCTCTACAAAATTAGCTTTCAAAACCCAAAACAATTTGTAAAATTTAGGCACTTAAATTTGTAAATGTAGGCATTGGCTCTAAGCATATCCAGTGTTATCTATTTGCAAATTTCTAGGTTTGATTTGAATTCAGTCAACTGAATGAGAAAATGATGGGTTTCCCTGGTAGGACATTTACTGAATGGAGAAAACACTATGACACTGTGTGAGGAAGACACTGCTGTCGTGCACAAGAATATGTATAATGCATGCGATCCTTTAAAAGTTATTTTCCTCGTGAGGAATGAGAAGCCCAATTCACTGTCATTTTAACTTCAAATTTTTGTGCAGTAATGGGGGAAAAATCTATGTCATGAATCCATGGAAATATGAAACATGCAATGTAACAGCATTATGAATAACTTGTTATAAATGTATCCCTGGATCCTGAGCCACAGGCAAATACAGCATCCCACGAAGTGTCCAATTGTACCTCATTCTCTTAGGCTGCAGACTCCCGATATTCTATATGCCCAAGTACAAATGCTACAAATATGATACAAAAATTAAATAGTGGGTATTTAGTGAGGCTGGCCAAAGCCTGCTAATTTTTGCTCTCCCCGTCTCCCCCTCTCTGAACCCCCATGCAGTACTATACCTATTTGGTTACCTACCATTTCAATTTGCATTCACCTAAGATCAGGGAAGTAATGAAATGAAAGAATGAGGGGTTTCCAGTGGACTCCAGTGTAATCATATTTAAAACTTCATTTCTTAGCATCACCGCCTGAGTTCAAAGTGAACAGGACAATGAAAGATCACAGTTTCAAGGCCTCTTTGCTGACCTCAGTAATATAGAAGGGACTTGCCAGAGCAACTTACTCCTAAATGTTTTCAAGGCTCAGGATGACAGTCCAAATGGAGGTCCACATATCTTATATCTGATTATTTACAACAGATCAAACTAACAAACTGCGAAATAAAATGTGCCTGTCCTCCTATTTGGACGACTTACTTCCATAATGAACTGGTAGGTAGGTTTGAACTTAGAAATCCTAGACTCATGGAGTTCCACATGGAAACATGGTGGGGGAAGAGCAACCCACAAACTCCTGCTTTTACAGCCTCTGCTCCTTTGTTCACCATGAGAGGCCTGTTGTGACTACTCCAGCCTCCGCATCCAAGATCCACCCACACACATACCCCAAACAGCTGGGTCCTGGCCTCAGGTCTATGTAGCCTGAGGATGGATGGGAGGAGCCCCACATAGGCTCAGGAGGCAGGCCTGAGCTCTCTGGATAGGGAATGGGCCTCAGGGACCTGAAATGTGGGCTAGAAGGACACATTCACTCAGGCTATGGACTCATTGTCTCCTGGGGAGGAGACCAGCTGGAGGAGGGCAGGAATGGAGCCCTCTGAAATGTGAGGCCCAGAGATGGCTTCTCTCCCTTTAGGTTCTAAGGGCATTACTGCTGTAGAGAAGTTGACTCTAAGGACCTGGGGCCATTTGAGATGGAGAGGAAAAAGTTTTTAAATATATATTAAAAAATTATGTATATTGTAATAAGAAGTATTTTCAGAAAAAGCTGTTATATTTGAGAAAGAGTAATGGAGGGTGATCAAGGTAAATAAAGATATTTTATGAGGGCGGCAGACTGGGAACAAGTTCTCAAGTCCTCAGTTTTGGTTGAAGGACAATAGAACAGAAGAAGCTCGTAACAGCTCCGGTTTTACAGTATAGAAAATAGCCCTCTGGTAGACAAGGAGAAAGCACCTCGAAGGTATACTGGAACAAAAGGAGAAAAGAAGGAAATAGGAAATTAAAGCAAACTCCAAAATATGGAACTGATGTGTTTCTAACTAGAAACTAAAAGAAGAAAACTTATTTAAGCCACAAAGACCAAAAGCAGCTATATTAATAGAAACTGATGAGGGAAATACCTAAAAACCATAACAAATGAGCAGATTTAGATGATATTCAGCCAAGCATGTTCGAATTAGTGAACATAAAAGTCTGAAATAAGTATAACTATTTTCCTTTTATTAGATTTTAGAACTAAGATACCAAAGGAAATCTTTGTATTGGAAGAAATAAAGCAAGAGTTGCTTGAGAACAAGGAGATCTATTATAATGGAAATATACTGCACTTTCCTGTACTTTTGCAAAGCTTGCTCTATGTCCTATAGATGTATAGTTCAAATCACTTCATTTTAGCCACTTGCCGAAGCAATACATGTTAAGCATTGCTTTAGAAGTTGATAAATCTTCTTTTATTACAATTCTGATCTTCTTGTTGATCATGTATAATCCTTTTTTCAACATGTAATTAATATTACACCATGGTAAAGTGGTTTGCCATGCAAACTGAGAAGAACTACATGACCTTCCCAGGTGGCAGACAAAAGTCAGAGGAGAAGTCAAAGGGTAACCATGAGTTCAACAAATATTAGTGGTCATACTGTGTCCTGACCACTGTGTGAGTTGTCAGTACAGTGATGAAAAAACAGACATGGATGATCATTGCTTCTTATTTCCACCCTAGTCCATGGCTTCCTGAGCCAGACACCCTGCCAGTCATGAAACCATGACCACACTGACCAGTCCCCCAGGAAATTTTACTTCCATTAAAAAAGAAAAAACCACCTGATGATCACTTTTTGTAAAAACTGCAACATCCTTTAGGACCCAATAAATACTGACTAACATGGATTTGTAATTTTTTTCTTACTTAGAACTTTAAAGGAAAAGATTTTATTACACAATTCATTTATTCATTTTTTAATAAAACAACTGTAATATTTTGTTTCCTCCCTTCTAATCATTAGGGCAGAATATCTTTAAAAATAGAAGTAGTTAAAACTTTCACCTACATTTAGAATCCAGATTTTATACCTCAAAAAAAAATCTTATAAGTAATGTATTTTACTCATAGGTCAACTGTAAATGACACCATCAACCAGACACACACTGACACCTGAGGAAGGTAACCTGGTCAGCTATGCTCCACTCTACAAATGAGAAACAGCATGTCCTTTCCTCATTAGCAATGCCTCATACTTAAGTCATCTTGAAGTAGCTGAGCATGTTCTATCAATACAATCTCATAAGTATGTTGGCCAATAGGGAACCAGTGAAAGAGTGAACTCTCTCTCTTCCCTTCAAACAGGCATTCAGTGCTTACTGTATGCTAAATGCGGAGGATTCCAAAAGGGGTAGATGAGGGTCTCTGCCCTGGAGGAGTTGACAGTCTTGTGGGGGAGAAAAGCATACAAAGGAAGAACTGCAATACCAAATTAACATGTGCTAAAGTTGAAGCAGGTGGCAATAATATAAATAATTATCGTTTATTGAGCAACTATTACATGTAAAGAACTTTATATATAATTCATGTCAAACTGTCACAGCAGTCTGCAAGTATAGAAATGTCTTCAATTCAAAGCAGAAGTTCAAAAAGGTTATATGATTTGTTTGAAAAAAAAAATGTGTGAAAGGTTATGAGTTTGAAGACAAAATTCAAGCCCAAGATTCTACAGAGCACTCTATTTCGATAGACCATATTACCTCCATACTCAAGATGCAAAATATTTAATTTTATATCTCAATTTTGTTTATAATTCTAAATTCTTAAATGAAAAATAGTTTGAATATGCTTGCGCTTGGCAGACATGCCCTCTTCTACTTCAGCACGAATCATTAAGCATTGATGACTAACATGAATCATTAAGAACTACACCACTGATTCGAATGTTTCATATTTGAGATTCCTGTATAAACAAAGACTCTCTCTAGAGTATAAACTCCCTATAATAGGACATTAATAAACATTTGTTGAATAAATAACATGAAAAAGTTGAAAATAACTGTGTCATAAAGAATACTTTATAGACAGGAATTTGTTAATGAAGGACACGAATACAGTAACATATTAAATTTTGGTCCAAATTAAAACTTGCCTCACATGATAGAAAGGAATCTCCCAATTCCTTTAACCCTACCACAAGAACTGCATCAGAGTTTCTTGCTCTCCGTAAATAACTTGTGCTTCCCGTCCTTGATGCCTTTACTTTGTCGAGCTCGCCACTGGGAATGCCCTTCTTCCTGCTTGGCCTCTCTTCTTATCCATACCTCAAGGCACAGCTTCAATGCATGAAGCTTTGCCTGGTCCCTTAGGCAAAATTCATTTCTCTGTCCTTCGAACTCCTCTCTTGGTCATTTATCCCATGCGGCTTTATACCTCGTACTATTGGTGTGTGTATACATGACTTACCTCCCCCACTGACCTGTAAGATTGGGAGGAAGGGAATTGTATCTTTCCCTTCATTGTATTCCCCCTTAGAAACTACTGTAAAGAAAAAACCTCATTTATTGGATGGGTCAATGTGTTCTGGTAGAAATCTGGAAACTGGTAAAACACAAATTCTCTTAAAGCTAATAGTTTTCAATAATCATCTCCCAGGACTGTGCATTTCCAAACTACTGTTAAAATATTGGGGTTGACCATAAGTCTTATACCTAATCAATGTATATAAAGGCCATGTAGTCAGTATATTTAGGCAGAAAGACTGTTGCTAGAAATATAAATCCCAACACTTTGCAATGACCACTGAAGTGCTTTAGCACATTTCATATCCAGTTTCTTCTGGAACCAATAAGATAATCTTTCCCCTTTAATCTTCCTTCCTTTCCTGACTAGGACCATGTTATCATCTGAGTGATGATTTAGTGTCTTTGAGAAGAGATAATAAATGACCAGCTCTCTG